TAATAAGGATAATGATAATAATAATAATAATAATAGTAAAGTATTTATGCCACATATTTCTATTTTCTATTTAAAAAATTATGCTCATTGTGTATTAGAGTGAAAAATGATGTCAAAATATAAAATAACCAGACAGGTGTATACGTAGAAGATAACATATATTTTACTATACATGACATACAGTCTAGCATGTAGCTTTGTTTGCAGTGACTAAAGCTCCGATTTGAGATTCGTAATAAAATCTTGTTTTCCAACTTTGAAACAGAAAAACTGGGTGGGGTTTTAAAAAATATTTTTATGTTAGAACATTCTCTGTGAAAAAGCGAAAACAAAACTAGCTCAACGACCTTGACTCTGCCTTGTGACCTTGATGTCTTGTGACCTTGACGCATTTTGACCTTGACTTTGTTACCTTGACACTCTGTGACCTTGACGCTTTTTGACCTTGACCATGACCCTCCATTGTGTGTTCTCTTGTTGTCAGGGAGTACAGGAAGCAGTATGAGGCAGCAGGCATCTGGTACGAGCACCGTCTGATCGACGACATGGTGGCCTACTGCATGAAGTCAGAGGGAGGCTTTGTCTGGGCCTGTAAGAACTACGACGGGGACGTGCAGTCTGACTCTGTCGCTCAGGGTGAGTCGCGCTGGATGACCGCTGGTCAAACCATGATTCATGATGTTTGATCTGCGCTCCTCAGGACAACAATTAGAACAGACATGCAGCTATTACCGAATAGCATCATGCAGAAGAGTTAACGCTCAGATGCTACTGGATCGCTAACGACAACAATCTACGCTCAAACCTGTAATGGCCACCTGCCCAAGACAATCATCTGCTCTCATGGCATTTGAGAAAATTAATAATAATAATAATAATGATGAAAATAATAATAATAATAAGAGCATTTGTATCCCGCCTTTCCCTACAACATGGGCCCAAGGCGTACATAAGAGATTAAAAACACATTCATACTAACACCATACACATTCACCATGTGCGCACATTTTGACAGCAACATTCTTTCAGACTATAAAAAATGCTCATACCATGAAGACTTATAAAATGAGCTTTTAAATTTAGAATGCATTTTAACTTGAAAACAAAAAAGATTATTCAATTGCTTCTAATGTATTTTTATTCATGGGAAATTCATTTTCAACTCAGTTGACATCAATATCATGATTAGAATTCAATGGTGAAACATAGCTTTATCATTATTAACCTGTAGCTCGAAACTCCTTTTTAAAAAAGTTTTCTTCTTTGTGTGTGTGCGTTACTCTCTTGTAACGCCTCTAATCTTTGGCACTTATATGACCTTATTGTGTAGCAAGTGCCATAAAACTGTTACATGGCTTTTGAATACCAAGGCCCCAAGATCTGGAATGTTTTACCAAGTACGTTGAGAGAAATCAAATCTTTTGATTCATTCAAATGTCAGCTGAAGTCGTTTCTGTTTTTAAATTAATAAGATGAATATTTGGAATAATTTTCTTTAGTCAGAACACAACGTTTCATGTTACTGTTGTATG